CACATTAATTATATATCCAAACAAAACAAGTCATCATTGTATCAAAATGATGTTAAAATTGTTCCAAAATGATCATTAAAAGTCATTTTTCAATCATTCTAATGTCATTTTGACTTTATTGTGACTTTCTGTTCTAATTGCGTATATATTATATTGTATACACAAGATATATGCTATACATACAATATTGCTGTACAATTAGTTAATAATAATATATTTTGTGGGTATATTTAATTGCAAAATATAGTGTTATAAAATAAATGTGCATTATATATGTTTAATTTTTATTTTATTTTCTCTTTCAAATGCGTCTCGTTTTTCACTGTGAGTATTAAATATCTATATAGTGTAAACGAGAACTATAGATTTCTGTATTCGCTGTGAATAATGGAATAAATTAAGATAATTTTATAAAAGTTACTTGTTAGTACGCGTATTAAATGTTCAAATGTGCAAATTAAGTTAGGACATTGCTAGAACATAAATTAGAAAGAGAGAAAAGGTTATAAACAGAGAGCAGAAGTGAGATAGAATACAGTGCCCTGATTGGTTACGCGCCTCGACCGCGCATGCGCACTCCATTTTAGGCTTCACTAACATCAAAGGTGCCGACAGAGAGTTGCGCTACTGTATATACTGTGGTTACACAGTGTCTACTTGTGTCGTAGCTGGAAAGCACCTTATGGGTGCATCCAGAAGCACGACCGCTCACTGAGCGCTAAGTGAGCTCTTGTACATACCTGTTTGGTTTATATTTTTAGACCTAATGGAATATGCCAATCAGATAAAAAAGCTCATTGAGCGCTTAGTGAGCGGTCGTGCTTCTGGATGCATCTAATGTCTATGGTTACACCGAAATACACGATTCTGATAGGTTAATATTTTAATATCTAATATCTGTTCCTCTATTGTGCGCAGCCTTAAGGTACTTTTTCATGCGCAGCACGCTGCAGCAACAATTCGTTACTATTGGTTAAGAATTTTATGTAAGCTAGACGACGCACTTCCGGCGCAAAATACATTTTGCCGCAGTTCGTTGAAGTTGAACCGAACGAACAG